TCCGGTCCACGTAACGTGGGCCGCCCTTGGACGTCACATCAGAACACCGGATATGTAAACCGCTCTAATAAAAGCAGGTTTTGATGAACCCAACTCAGTAGCTTTCGCACAATGTGTAACATCTGGCTGAACGCACACCCTGATGGTTATGTACGCAGCAGTCATCATGATGTCTGTGTGAATCAACACGTGTTGATTCTGTAACACAGGAGCAAGGTGTTGAATCACATTCAGTACTGTGCGACACTCCAAAACATTGATGTGGGCTGATGTGTAGTGGGGCCACAGCGCCCCTACTGCTTGAGATAGGTATGTCCCCCCCCCAGCCTGACAGCAACGTGTCCGTGAAGACTGACCCATGACGTGGGTCTGCTGAGGGGGACTCCCTCTGATAGAAAAACAAGGTGTTTCCCCAGAGTCGGAGGTCTGCTTCCACAGAGGAAGACAATGATCATCCGTCGTTTGTTTTACTGGATCCACATGCAGACGTGCAAAAACACCTCTAGAGGCGTCTCATGTGATAAATGAGTTTTCATGGTGGTTGAATTTAATTCCACTCCAGAAAACAAATGTCTGGGCCGGGAAAATCGAGCTTCCTTCCACTTATGGCGAAGCCCAGATTAACAGGTGTGATGTCAACACCTGATCCTGCATCAGCGCCTCCTGTCTGAAGTGACAGGATCCGCAGATCATCCAGGTAAAACAAAAAACTCTCGTCTCTGTGTTTTAGGATGATCGGTATGCGTTCTCTGGATGTTAAACAACAGATCCAAGAACGGTCTCACCCCTCCGATCCGTGAGTAAAAACCCTCGTGTTTTCTCTCCCTTGGGGAACTCTGTAGATTACTTTTATCAGAAAACACTTGGATTTCTGCATTTAGGGAAGAGAATCAGTCTGATGATGATGACGGGACCGTTTATATAACTCCTCTGAATGGAGGGGTTCGGGTTGCAAACTGTAACTTGTACCATTTGCATAAACCCTGTCCATCCATCTGAAAAACGGCGAGCATGTTTAGCCACTCTACGTAACGTTCGTGGATGAACGTGCGTTAATGATGCGTCATGTTTTGTACGGCTGTCAGCAGTCCGTCCCTCAACCGCCGTCATGCGTCGCGGGAATGTTTTCTGTGTGACCCCGGGCGAGACTTGAGCTGAAGGCGAAGCGTGTGACAGCTGATGACGCGGTGAGCTGCGCGTTTGACGTCGCTGTGCGAACGTTGAAAGGCGGAGGGCGTGACTTCATTTACACCGTGCTGTTGGAGTGAAGGCTGCTTAGCCCCGCGGGAGCACACGTTGTTCTCTGGAGGGACGCGCGCCGCTCTCGCTGGAGGGGCGCGCGCTAGAGGGAGGTGGGACTCATTACCGGGTTCTTCGGCTGCTTCACGTTTAAGCTGCGGTGAGCTGCCGAAAGCTGAGAGAGAAGGACCCCCACCCGGACCAGCCTGCGGACCACATTTATACCGATGTGAGCTGGTTAGCGCCGGCAGCTGTGTGCGCCAGCATCAACGCAGCACCGTTGAATGGAGGCTGTCATCTTAGTGTTCGACTCGTCATGTCAAGAGCGGCGGTGAAATAAAAACCCTATTTAAGGACACCGGCTCATGTGGAGGCTGTTCCATCCCACAAATGCGAGTTGACACCGCTTGAGTGAGGATCATGCAGTTCTAGTTGGTAATGAGTTATTTTCGCTTACCGTTGTGCCGTGATCGACCCGTCATGTCTAGAGCGACGGTGAGTTTAAAAAACCTTTATTTAAGGACACCGGCTCATGTGGAGGCTGTTCTGTGATCGACTCATCATGTCTAGAGCGACGGTGAGTTTAAAAACCTTTAATAAAGGACGCCGGCTCATGTGTGGAGGCTGTCCTGTGATCGACTAGTCATGTCTAGAGCGACGGTGAGTTAAAAACCTTTAATTAAGGACACCGGCTCATGTGTGGAGGCTGTTCTGTGATCGACTCGTCATGTCTTAGAGCGACGGTGAGTTAAAAACCTTTATTTAAGGACACCGGCTCGTGTGTGGGGCTGTTTCATCCCACGAGTGCGCTCTTATGTGTGCGGCCGCTGTGAGCTGATCCGGGCTTATAGACTGGCTAAAAAACAGACACTTGGATCATTAATGATGATTTATTTCAACTTTCGTGTCACTTTTACACACACCCTCCGGAGACCGTCATTTGAGAGCTTTCTCTCTCATGAGCTCTGCGATTGTTTGCCCAGAGCGCTGTCTTGCAGGCGAACTCTGGGGAAACGCTGAGCTGCAGGCTGCCGGAGTGCAGAGGGCTGGATTCTGACGGGCGGGGCTGGTGGTGGAACTCAGCGAGAGCCGCGGCCGTGGAAAAGTCGAAAACTTGCTCGCGACGGTCCCTCCAGCGGGGACGGGGTGGGCCGCGCGGCTTGATGAGGTGGCGAACAGCTTTTGGCACCTCCTCCGACTGTTTCACTTCGCCAGCATGGTTTGAAGCTGCTCTGAACAGCGCGTCCGCGATGGGCTTCATCAGGTCTTGTGCAGATTCTCCGGCAGCGAGGGGAGTAACGAAGCCAGGTGGATCGTTGGGTCATCGTCCTCCGCGCTGCAGTCCCCGACAAAGGCAAACCGTGGGAGAGGCACACATGTTGAGCTGGCGTCAGCGGCTTACAGAGGGAGATCTTCGTCTCCAAGGCAGGTCTGCGGCCTTCAATCCCTTGGACATGCTATATGCTAGCAGCGCACGTTGTTGCTAGCTGCGGCTGCCTGAAAAAACACGTCGGTGGGCTCGATTGGAGAGCGTGGTCGCCGTCTGTGTTCCTCCGGAGGGACGGGACGCTGCTCCGACCTGGGCAGCTTCGCT